TGTTTGACCTTTTAGAAATTATGGATATGTGTTATTTTTGATAAAAATAAAATTAACTTATACTCAGAGCCACTAGTCTGGCAGGATGTGAAGTTAAAAAAAAAATTATACTAAAAATATATGTATCCACTTTCCCCTCTGTGCTGTATTTTTTGGTATTTTTCAGCTAAATATCCAAATTTATAAACAATTATAAGGAAAAATACAGACTCTTTCAATATTGTCGCATGTATTACTTTTTAAAATCCGTTACGTATCATCGTGTTACATTATATAAGGAAGCGATGTAGCTTTATTATAGAATTTAGAATCTTCAAGTCTGTTAGAAAAATATGCTACAAACAGACCATCTGTATCTTTGCAATTCCACAAATGTGTGAGAACAAGCTTACAGTACTCTGAAAGTGCCCGTTATTTTAAAACCATAAAATAATTTTAAGAATTATTAATGCAGAATAACCGAAGAAGATGTCTCAAAGGAAATACAAAAATATATTGACCTGAATGAAAGTGAAAATACAACAAGTTAATATTTGTGGGCTGCAGTTAAAGAGTGACGAGTAGAAAAACTCTAACACTAACTAATGCGTGCAGTATAAATGTCTCAAATCAATAATCTTAGCTGCCACCTCAAGAAACCTCATAAGGATCAAAATAAACCGAAAGCGAGCAGCAGGAAAGAAATAATAAAAATTAGAGCATAAGTGAATAAAATTGAGAACAGGAAAGCAGTAGAAAAAAATCAAGGCAACAAAGCTGGTTCTGGAAAGATCGTAGACAAACTTGTTATCAAGACTCACAAAGAAAAAGACACAAATTACTAACATCAGGAATGAGACAGGACTACCACTGCAGACCTTGCAGACTTCAAAAAGGGTGATAAGGGAATACAACAAACAACTCGTAGACACATAGATTTGTCACCTGAGATGAAATGGACCAGCTCTTCAAAAAGTACACACTACCACCCCTACCATTGCCGTCAGTCAGTTGCGACTCATAACAACCCTATAGGACAGAGAGCTGCCCCACAGAGTTTCCAAGGTTGTAATCTTTTCGGAAACAGACTGTCACATTTTTCTCCCTTGGAGCAGCTGGTGCTTTTAAACTGCCGACCTTTGCGGTTAGCAGCCGAACACTTAACTACTGAGCCATCAGGGCTCCTTTAAGTTTAAGTTAAGTTTATTTTATTTTATTTTTTAATCAAAAATAACACATAGCCATTATTTTTAAGAGGTCAAGTAGTATCCTAAGGTTTATAAGAAAAACTACCAGTTATGTTCTCTGGAAGCAACTTTGCTTAACTTTTTAAAGCTGTATTCATTCTCACGAAAGCCTCTTTTAGTACAATCAGAAACATAAAGTACTTAGATTCCTTTTTACTTGGAGATATCCCTTCTGATTCAGTCTACACTGGTATCTCTCTAGGTCTACTGTATGCTGTCATTTTGGGACACTCTTCATTTTCATGATATTTTCTTCTCTTTTGTTCTGTACCTTCTGAATCCTGGATTACTTTTTTTCTTTGTTTATTCCTGAATTTTTGTAGAACACATCCTTTAGTAGCTTCTTGAGAAAGGTTACAAGAGAGGTTACTTTTTGAGGCCTTGCCTTCATGTCTTGGCTAAGAATAGAATTATAGGAGGAAATAATTTTCTTATAGATTTTTAATTTATGTAAAAAATTTAATGGTGATAAAATATATATAACAAAATTTGCCATTTTAACCATTTTAAATGTGTAATTCAGTGGTATTAATTACATTCAAAATTTTATACAGTCATCCCCACTATCTACTTCCAGAGCTTTTTCATTACCCCAAGTCGAAACTCTGTACCCGTTAAGCAATAACTTTCCATTCCCCCTCATTCCTAGCCCTTGGTAACCGCTAATCTACTTTCTGTCTTTATGAATTCGCCTGTTCTGGATATTTTTTATGCGTGGAGTCATACAATACATGGCCTTTTGTGATGGACTTCTTTCACTTAGCATGATGTGTTTGATGTTCACCCATGTTGTAGCATGATCCAGAACGTCATTCTTTTTTATGCCTAATATTTCATTGTATGTATCTACCACATTTTGTTTATCCATTCTTCTGTTGGTGGACACTTGGATTGTTTCCACTTTTGGCTATTGTGAATAATGCTACAGTAAACATTAGTGAAGACGTATCTGTTTGGACCCCTGCTTTCAGTTCTTTCGAGTATATATCCAGGAGTGGAATTTCTGGGTCATATGGTAATTCTGTGTTTAACTTTTTGAGGACTGGCCAAACTGTTTCCCTTAACAACTGTGCCATTTATTTACCACCAGTATTGCATGAGGATTCCAATTTCTCCATATCTTTTCCCAAAATTGTTGTTTTCTTTTTTTTTTTTTTATAATAGCATCCTAGTGGGTGTGAAGTTGTATCTCATCATAGCTTTCTTTGGTTTGCGTTTTCCTGGGGGCTGACGGTGCTGAGCATCATTTTAGGGGCTTGTTGGCTGTTTGTGTATTATGCTTGGAGAAACGTCTGTTCAAGCCCTTTGATCATTTTTTAATTAGGTTGTTTGTTTCTTTGTGGTTGAGTTGTAGGAGTCCTGGATATTATGTTCTGGATTTTTTTTGGATATATATATTCTGGATATTAAACCCTTATCAGTTATGATTGTCTTTTCATTTTCTTGATAATGTCCTTTGCACAGAAATCTTAAATTTTAATGAAATGAAATTTATGTATCTTTTCCTTTGGTCATACGTGCTTCTGGTGTTATTCCTAAGAATTCACTGCCAAATCCAAGGTCACGAAACTTTAGCTCTATGCATTCTTCTAAGAGTTTTATGGTTTTAGTGCTTACATTTAGGTCTTTGATGCATTTTGAGTTAATTTTTATATACGGTGTGAGGTAAGGGCCCAACTTCATTCTCTTGCATGGGGCTATCCCGTTGTCACAGCACCATTTGTTGACGGGAGACTACTCTTTCCCCACTGAGTGGTCTTGACACCCTTGTTGAAAGTCAGCCATAGATGTATGGGTTTATCTCTGGACTCTAATTTTATTCCATTGTTCTATGTGTCTATCCTTTTGTTAGTAAATCCATTTATTTTTTTTATTTTTATTTTTTATTGTGCTTTAGGTGAAAGTTTACAGCTCAAGTTAGTTTCTCATATAAAAATTTATACACATATTATTATGTGACCCTATCTGCAATCCCTTTAATGTGACAGCACACTCTCCCTTTCTACCCCGGGTTTCCTGTGTCCATTCAGCCAGCTCCTATCCCTTTCTGCCTTCTCATCCTGCCTCTGGACAGGAGCTGCCTAATTAGTCTCATGTATCTACTTGAACTAAGAAGCACACTCTTCATAAGTATTATTTTAAAATCCATTTATTTTTAATGGTAGAGATGTGAAAAGCTGATTGGAGGCTTTGTGTGTAGGCATGAGGTCTTATTAACTGAGTGGGTCTTGCTATGTGGTCACTATCTCTTTTCTTTGGTCAATTTTCCCAAAGAGAAATCCTTTGATTTTCTCATTTTGGTGTGAAGCTATGTCTGGAGGCGGGTAGACCTCCTCCCTTTTTTTTCCTTAAAATTTATTAGGAAATAATTTCCAACTTAAAAGTTTTGCATATAAGAATAGTACAAAGAACACCTGTATACTCTTCAGCCAGATTCACCAATTAACATTTTGCTGTATTTGCTTTATTGTTTTCTTCCGTCTGTACATGTATATGCAGGAGCCCTGGTGGCAGAATGGTTAAGCGCTGGACTATTAACGTAAAGGGCGGTGGTTCAAACCCACCAGCCGCTCTGTGAGAGAAAAGACCTGGCGATCTGCTCCCATAAAGATTATGGCCTAGGAAACCCTATGGGGCAGTTCTAGTCTGTCACATGGGGTCACTATGAGTTGGAATCGATTTGATGGCACACAGCAGCATCATACATATATACAATATGTGTTTGTATGTTTCTGAACCATTTGAGAGTAAGTTGTGTGCCTGATGATCCTTTCTGCATAAATACTTAGCTTTAGACTTTCTGGAAGTCTCTTCATTTCTACTCTCCTCTGTGTATGGAGTTTTTCAGTTTGTCTGGTTCATCTTCTCAAATAGTAAATCTCTAGTCTTGTGTAAAGATGAGGGTGGAGATAAGCGGTAAGAGAGTCAAAGTTCTTAGTCAGACTTTTGCCAATCCTCGTATCTTTTCAGCCTCATCTTATAACCTGGACTCCGTGTCTCCCATTTCTGAACCTTTCTGGGGTTCTGCAGTGCAAGGTTTGGTTCTCACTGAATTCATTCCTTTCCCACTTTGTAGGTGCTGAACAGTGGAGTTATCTCAGAAACCTAACCCATCCACTTGCTTTCCTTTTTCGAATGTTAACATCTCCAGTCTCTGATTTCCGCTCTTCTCCTTTGTCCTTGTGGTTTATGCCTTTATTTCTTCACTGCCATTTTAATTGGAGTTTGTGAGAGCAGAAATGTGCACATTCAATGTATCAACGTAATTGGAAGTCTATGGTTTTCTAAAATCCTGTGAATAAGTACATAGTTTGTCTTCTCAATCAGTATTTCACTTAAATTTCAGCAGACAAAGACAACAGACTGGCTTGCATAGTATAAGAGTTATGTGTTGAAAATAGTTAATATTTTAGATCAGACGCTGGCAAATTTTTCCTGCACAGGGCCAGATAGTGTATATTTTAGGCTTTATAGCCATACAGTCTGTTGCATATTTTTCTGTTTTCTTTAAACCATTCTTAGCTTGGAAATCTGTGGGGTTGGCCCAAGGCCTGTAGTTTGTCCACCCTGTTCTAGATGTATTTTTCTAGATAAGATCTTGCTAGACAACTTGACTTGTTTTTTTTTTTAATTTTATTGTGATAATATATATAAGATGACCCATTTTTTGATGAAGAAACTCTTTTCTTACTATCTTTCTTAATAGAATTTCAAACTGTATTTGGTTTTTTGAATAAATTATTAACCGTTAATATTTATTATTTTAATTTTCAGATGGTGACCCTGATAACTATATTGCTTACTATCGGAGAGCTACTGTCTTTTTAGCTATGGGTAAATCAAAAGCGGCACTTCCTGATTTAACTAAAGTGATTGAATTGAAGATGGATTTCACTGCAGTAAGTGTATCTAAATTTCCTTTAAAGGTGAACTTAAGGGAACTTGTTAGTTGGCATCGAGTAGATTCCGACTTACGGTGACCGCATGTGTGCAGAATAGAACTGCTCCATAGGGTTTTCAAGGCTGTGACCTTTCAGAAGCAGATCACCAGGCCTGTCTTCCAAGGTTCCTTTAGCTAGTAGCAGAGCGCTTAACTGTTTGCATTACCCACGGATCAGTAAGGGCACTTGGAGAGTGCCCATGTTTCTTAAGCTGAGGACTGGCATGCAAGGCATAGCTAGAAGATGTAGAAAGCTACTATGATATACTGGACTTCAAAGTTGCTTGAATCAAAGGTCTATGCTAAAGAGGAAGAGTGGGTGCAGGAGATCATTTTTAGAAGCTTGGCAGGGAAGTTAGCTTAAGGTTTAAAAAGATGGATCTGTGTGGGAGATGGAGTGTAGGGCAAGGAGTGAGGCGGAGGAATGAAGTGATTAAGAAGCTGTTGAATTCAGAGGCTGTCAGGTGACTGGTGACCAGTTCAGTTAAGACTCTAGCAGTAAGAATAAAGAAGAGGGGTAACTCACCATGGTTTGTTGTGAGGAAACAAAGCTAGATGAGCCAGGGTTCTCTCCTGAAACCAACGCACCAGTTTCAGAGGTGGAGAAACTTACAGCCTAATGGGAAAGTTTGATGGTTGACTGGTCACTGTAAGTGCTGTGATAGAGGCATGCAGAGGGAACATACGGGGAGGGGACAAAGGAAGAGCTTTCAGAGGGCGAACTGACAACCCATTGACTAATTAGATGGTTTCATAGTTAACTTGGTAACTCGTTTATTATTTATATCCTGCCATAGTCCAAAAAGGATTTGAGATAACGGTTTAGATATGAGTGAATGCTTGGTTTGAAATATTACTGTTATTTTAAGGTGGAAATTTCCCAAGTGTCAAATTTTCTTTGAATCTGTTAGTACTTTACAACCACAGCCTTTCACAAAGGTTAAAGCAGCTCATTTTCCTAGTGTTATGGTAGCGATTAGCTAGTTGAAGCATCTTTAATCTTTTTATATGTGTTGGTGTATATAATGGAGAATTAGGGAAATTTTGTGTATTGTGAAAGTAATATATAAGTTTCAGTGGAATAATGATATGGTTTCTGCTTTATGGTAGACACTGGTCATCAGAGAGCTGGTACTCTTGGAAGAGGTGGGATTACGTTTATTAGAAAAAGGAATAGTCAGAGATGGAAGAGGAGAAACTGGTGCATGTTAAAAGGGAAGAAGGCATTGTTATTCTGGTTATAGCCCAATAAATATCTGCACTGAGAGTTAATAAACGAACAGACCCACTTCTGGAGCTTTGATTGGTAAAACCCAAAATTACCTAACTTTTATTGTAGTGGCAAAAAGTTTTTGTGATGGTAAAAAGTACTTATTTTTTTTGTTTGAGATAAAATCCACATACCATAAAATTTTCACCCTTTAAAGTGTAGATTTCAGTGGTTTGTACTATATCTACAGGGTTGTGCAGTCATTCCCAAACCCATTGCCATTGAATCAATTTTGACTCATAGCGATCCTATAGGACAGAATAGAACTGCCCCATAGGATTGCCAAAGCTATAAATCTTTACGGAAGTGGACTGCCACATCTTTCTCCCATGGAGTGGCTCGTAGGTTCAAGCCACCTATCTTTCAGTTAGCAGCCAAGTGCTTTAACCACGGCGCCACCGGGGCTCCTTGTGCAATCATTACTACTTTCTAATTCCAGAACATTTTCATCACCCCGAAAAGAAATCTTGTACCACAAGCAGTCACTCCCCATTTCCCTTCCCCAGGTTTGGCAGCCACAGTCCACTTTCTTTCTCCGGATTTGCCTGTTCTGGACCCTTCCTGGCATCCCTGTGTGGTGAAAGCAGTGACCACACTTGGCTGCTAACTGAAAGGTTGGCAGTTTGAGTCCTTCCAGAGGTGCATGGGAAGAAAATCCTGGTGATCTGCTTTTGAAAATGCAGCCATTGAAAACAGAACACGATTCTACTCTGACGCACATGGGGTTGCCATGAGTTGGAATCAACTTGACAGCAACTGTATTTTTTTGATGTTTGTTTGTTTTTTGACATTTCGTATAAATGGAATCATACAATATGTGGCCTTTTGTGCCTGACTGACTTAGCGTGATGTTTTTGAGATTCATCCATGTTGTAGCATGTATCAGTACTTTATTCCTTTTTATGGCTGAATACTGTTTCATTGTATGGATATACCAGATTTTGTTTATCGATTCTTCAGTTGATGGACATTTGAGTTATGTCCACTTTTTGGCTATTGCTGTGAACGTTTATGTACAAGCTTTTGTATGAAAAATATGTTGTTAGTTCTCTTGGATATAGCAAAAAGTATTTTAAAGAGAGTGTACTTTCACAAACATTATACACATTCATTGGTCCCAGGAATTATTCTCAGAGTGCCAAGTTAAACAAATGGGCATTGGAAAAATAGATATTTCATTAGTAATTTTATTAACTTATTTAGATTTATTCTTCGTGTTTAACGAAAATTTAGAAATGCTTACTGCTCAAGATTACTCTCCTCCTTTCCTTTCTAGGCAAGATTACAGAGAGGTCACTTATTACTCAAACAGGGAAAACTTGATGAAGCAGAAGATGATTTTAAAAAAGTGGTAAGTTGAATTTGTGCTTGACTCTGTGAAGATGTCATTTTGCATGAATATATTGGACCTACTTTTTGTTTGAAGACATTTATAATATTTTTATAGTTAAAAGGGAAAATACCAGTTTGATTTGTTTACGTAAGAATCACAGTTCCTGATTCAATATTAACAAGTCACATTAACAGGTGAAAAGTAAAGTACACAGAATAAGGTATCTAATCCTAAGTCAGTTTATACAGCTCACTTATTTCTGTTTTGTTTCTGTGAGAATCTAGAGATGTCTGTTGAGCTATTCTCAAAGTCCCCCTAAGTGACTCGGGAGCACTTTGATTTGAAAGGAATAATGAAACAGATTCTTAAAAGGGAATTTTGCAATCGTCCATTATAGCTGCTTTACAAAATATAAAGTGCTTTGGCTTTGTTGGGGGAAAAGTTCCAGACTGCATGTAATTGAAGGGAGTATATACTGAAAAGGAGTCCTGGTGGTGCTGTGGTTAAGAGCTGGGCTGCTAATCAAGAGGTCAGCAGTGTGAATCCACCAGCCGCTCCTTGGAAACCCTATGGGGCAGTTCTGCTCTGTCCTACAGGGTCGCTATGAGTTGGAATCGACTCGACGACAACAGGTTTATATGCTGAAAAACCATTTTGAGAGAGGTAGCCAGCCAGTCTTTCTATGCCCTCATTTGACTTTGTTTAAGACCAGCAGTTTTGTTCTACATGGATATGTTTCTGGAATGGTCTAGAGAGGTATAGTATGTGTATAACCCATTGTTTATTATTTGCATTTTTTTGTAGTTTATCCCAATGCTTAGTTGTTCTGAAAATAAAACTAAAATTGCTAACATTTTCATAACCGCTGTCAAAGTACTCAATTATCTGCAGACAAATCTAAGATAACATTAGATATTATTGTAATAAATCAGAGACTATCTCATAGTCTCAGTAAAATCGGATATTATTTTATGTTTCTCTGATCTCCCCTACTACTTGGGAAGCTGCTTGGGAGCAGGCTAAAGAAGAGTAGGTGACGGGGAGGTGATGGTGCTGGAGTAGCCTCTCCCTAGCCCAATGCTTTGTACATATCAGGTGTTGTGTGAACATTTGTTGGATGGATGAATGAACAATAAAAGATGAGAATGTTTTCTACTCCTTAATAAGTACTCAAATCTATTACTTAGATTTGTTTTTCTAATCACAACTTTAGAGTAGCCTTTTAGAAATCACACCTTAATTTAGAATATAATTTTAGCATAAACTGATCCTTATTGGGGATTGGATGTATCCTTCTGGAAGAGAATTCTTGGAACCTTATGCATGTTGCGAGAAAATGTCTTTTTTTCTTCCTTATTTTATTATTAATTTAAAATTATTAATTATTTTGGATCTGTAAAGTGTTGAAAATAATATAACACACGTATACCCACTGCCCAGATTTAATACGTTTTGCCATTTTTAAATTATTTTTTTATTTATATATTTTTTATTGTGCTTTAGGTGAAAGTTTACAGCTCAAGTTAGTTTCTCATAGAAAAAATTATACATACATTGTTATATGACCCTAGTTGCTCTCCCTATAATGTGACAGCACACTCCTCCTTTCCACCCCAGATTTCCTACATCCATTCAACCAGCTCCTGTCGCTTGCTGCCTTCTCATCTCACCTCTGGACAGTAGCCACCCATTTAGTCTCATCTATCTACTTGAACTAAGAAGCACACTCTTCACAAGTATCATTTTATATCTTATAGTCCAGTCCAATCTTTGAAGAGTTGGCTTTGGGAATGGTTTTAGTTCTGGGTTAACAGAGTCCAGGGGCCATGTCTGCTGGGGTTCCTCTAGTCTTAGACCATTAAGTCTGGTCTTTTTGTGTGAATTTGAGTTCTGCACCCTACTTTTCTCCTGCTCCATCAGGGACTCTCTGTTGTGTTCCCTGTCAGGGTGGTTATTGGTGGTAGCCAGGCACCATCTAGTTCTTCTCATCTCAGGCTGATGAAGTCTCTGGTTTATGTGGCCCTTTTTGTCTCTTGGGCTAATATTTTCCTTGTGTCTTTACTGTTCTTCATTCTCACATTTTGCCATTTTTGCCAAAGCAAAAAAGTAATTTCTAGTAGCTTTTTTAAAATGCAAACTTATCGCAAAATATATAGAACAAAATTTTGCTTTTTAACCTATTTTAAGTGTACAGTTCAGTGACATTAATTACATTCACCATGTTGTGCAACCATCATCACTTATTTTGAAAAGTTTTTCATCACTCCTAAAAGGAACTCAGTAGTTCCCGTTAAGCAGGAACTCCACATGCATCTCTTCCTCCAGCCCCTGGTAACCACTGATAAACTTTTGTCTGAATGCATTTGCCTATTCTAGATATTTTATGTAAGTGGGATCATACAATATTTGTCCTTTTCTGTCTAACTTATTTCACTTCATGTAATGTTTTTAAGGTTCATCCATATCAGAGCATGTATCAGAACTTCATTTCTGTTTATGGCTGAATAATGTTTTATTGTATATATGTACATTTTGTATATCTATTCATCTGTTTACAGTTGGTTTTTTACCGATGTGGCCTGTACATGGAAGAGGGGGGAGGTTTGTCCTAAATTTAATAATAAGTATGGGCCACACAGAGCCCTGGTGGCGCAGTGTTTAAGAGCTCAGCTGCGGAAGAACGCCAAAGACACAAGGAAAGTATTAGCCCAAGAGACAGAATGGGCTACATAAACCAGAGACTTCATCAGCCTGAGACCAGAAGAACTAGATGGTGCCCGGCTACCACCAATGAACATCCTGACGGAACACAACAGAGGGTCCCTGATGGAGCAGTAGAAGGATGGGGTGCAGAACTCAAATTCTAGTAAGAAGACCAGACTTAATGGTCTGACTGAGACTGGAGGCGCCCCGGAAGGCATGGCCCCTGGACTCTCTATCAGCCCAGAACTAAAACAATTTCCGAGGCCAACTCTTCAGACAGGGATTGGACTGGACTGTGGGACATAAAGTGATACTTGTGAAGAGTGTGCCTCTGAGTCAAGTAGATACAAGAGACCAAAGGGGTAGCTTCTGTTGAGAGGTGAGATGGGAAGGCAGAGAGAGGAGCTGGTTGAATGGTCATGGGGAATCAGGGGCGGAAAGGAGGAGTGTGCGGTCGCAGAATGGGGTCAGCAATTAGGGTCTCATAACAATGCAAAAAAAAAAAAATTTTGTATGGGAGACTACCTTGAAATGTAAACTTCATTTAATTAAACAATTAAAAAACAAAAAACAAAAAACTAAGCTGCAAACCAAAAAGTCACATTTGGAATTCCCCAGCCACTCCTTGGAAGCCCTATGGGGCGGTTCTACTCTGTTGTATAGGGTCTCTGTGAGTCAGAATCGACTCAACGGCAACAGGTTTGGTTTTATTTGTTTTTTTTGTTTATGGGCCACATAGACTTTTGATCTTGATGGGTCATAGCAACTAAAGGCATTTGGATTATTCTCCAATAGGCTTGGCCCTCAGAAAATGACAGCCTCTGGGGGTGGAGGATGGCTTTAGTACACTCAGGTGGGTTATGGAGGCCTTAGTATCTCTACCTGGTCATACCTGCCTTCTTGTACAGGCTACTGATACTTACTCTTTATATATATATATATATATACACCACATAAAAATTTTTTATATATATATATAATATAAATTTTATATATATATATAAAATAAAACCTTTGCTATTTCAGCCATTTTTATGTGCACAATTTAGTGACATTAATTACGCTCACCATATTGTGTAACCGTCACCCCTATCTGTGCTTAAATCATCACCTGAACAGAAAGTCAGTGCTCCTTAAGCAGTAACTCCCCCTTTCTATCTCTCACCCACCCTGGTAATCACTCATAAACTGTGGTCTCTACGCATTTGCCTACTTTAGATATTTCATATCAGTGGGATTTTACAATATTTGTCCTTTTGTAACTTACTCCATTTAGCATAATGTTTTCAAGGTTTAACCATGTCCTAGCATGGCTGAGTAATATTCCATTGTATTACCACATTTTATTTATCCATTCGTCTGTCCATGGACATTTGGGTTGTTTCTACATTCCGGCTATTATGAATACTGCTGCTATGAATATTGGTGTGTAAGTATCTGTTTTGGTTCCTGCTTTCAGTTTTTTCGGTGTATACCTCTGAGTGGAATTGCTGGGTCATATGATAATTCTGTTTAACTTTGAGGAACTACCAAACAGTGGCTGCACCATTTTACAGTCCTACCAACAATGAATGAAGGTTCGAGGTTTGGATTTCTTCACATACTCACCAGTACTTGTTTTCCCGTTTTCCTGATAATACCCATCCTAGTGGGTGTGGTATCTCATTGTGGTTTTGATTTTCATTTCCCTGATGACTAATGACATTGAGCATTTTTTCATGTGCTTACTGACCATGTGTATATCTTCTTGGAAGAAATGTCTGTTGAAGTCCTTTGCCCATTTTTTAATTGGATTGTTTGTCTTCTTGTGGTTAAGTTGTAGGAGTTCTTTATATATTCTGGATGTTAAATGCTTATCATATGTGTGATTTGCAAATATTTTCTTCTATTCTTCTGTCTGTTTACTTTGTTGATAAAATCCTTTGATGCAGCAGAAGTTTTTAATTTTGACAGTGTCCAATTTATTTATTTTGTCTTTTATTGCTCATGTGTTTGGTGCCATAACTGTGGATGTCTGTTTTTGTGATCAATATTAAAACATCTCAGAAAACAGAACAGCGACTTGCCTGAGTCTTTCCACTTCTGATTGTTCTTTGACAGTCATACTTTCTATAGTTTGCTCTGAAAACTGAGCTTGCTGTTGTAGGGATTCTTCCAGAGGATGTTCATGGATATTGATTAATTTTTAGTTGAAATTTTTATTGAGATCATGGTAGATTCACATGCAGGTGTAAGAAATAATACAGAGAGATCCTATGTACCCTTCACCCAATTTCTACCAATGATAGATAGCATCTTACAAAACTATAGTACAG